CTTTTTAATCTCTAGTTCACTTATTTCCCCTCCGATCTTTGTCCTTCCTTCCTTCTACTAACTTTGGGCCTCATTTGTTCTTTTTCTGGTTTCTTGACATGTAAAGTTAGGCTGTTTATTGGAGATTTTTTGTTTCTTGATGTAGGAATTACCCTGAACTTCCCCTTTAGAGCTGCCTTTGTTGCATTCCATAAGCGTTGGTATGTTGTATTTCCATTTTCTTCTGTCTCAAGGTATTTTTTTATTTCTATTTTTATTTCTCATTTGACCCATTGGTTGTTCAATAGCATGTTATTTAATCTCCACATATTTGTGAATTTTTTAGTTTTCTTGTCATTGATTTCTAGTTTCATACCATCGTGGTCAGAAAAGATGCTTGATGTGATTTCAGTCTTTTTAAATTTATTAAGACTTGTTTTGTGGCCTAATATATGATTTATCCTGGAGAATGTTCCAATGTGCGCTTCAGAAGAATGTGTATTTTGCTCCTATTGGATGGTTATGTTCTATAGATGTCTGTTGAATCCATCTGGTTATGCATGTAGTTTAAGTCCAATATTTTTTTACAATTTTCTGTCTGGATGATCGAACCATTGTTGAAAGTGGGATATTATATTCCCCTACTATTACTGTATTGCTGCCTCTTTCTCTCTTCAGGTCTGTTAATATTTGCTTTACATATTTAGGTGCTTCTATTGGGTTGTCAGAAAAGTCATGACACATTTTTGCAACAAAAAACAGACAAAATATGTCATGACTTTTCTGACAACCCAATACTTTGGGTGCTTAAATATTTACAAGTGTTACATCCTCTTGATGGATTTACCCCTTTTTTATTATATAATGACTATCTTTGTCTCTTATTATAGTCTTTGTCCTAAAGTATATTTTATCTGATATAAATATAGCTACTCCTTTTAGCTGCCATTTGCATGGAATATATTTTTTCATCCCTCGCATTCAGTCTGTGTCCTTAAAACTGAAGTGAGTCTCTTGTCTAACTTCAGCATATAGTTGGATCTTGTTTGTTTTATTCATTCAGCCATTCATTGTCTTTTGATTGGACAGTTTAGTCCATTTACATTTAAAGTAATTATTGTTGGGTATGGACTTACTGTTGCCATTTTGTTAATTATTTTCTGGTTTGTTCCTTTCTCTCTTGTTTTCTTCCTTTGTGATTTGCTGATTTCTGTAGAGGCATACTTAGATTTCTGTCTCTTGATGTTAATGTGTATCTACTACAGAGTTTTGCTTTGTGTTACTATGAGTTGACATAAAATATCTTATACTTACAATAGTCTATTTTAAGGTGATAACAGCCTAATTTCAAATTTACACAACAGTTTACATTTTTACACCCCCAACATTTTATGTTTTTGATGTCACAATTTACATCTTTTTATATTGTGCATCCACTAACAAATTATTGTAGTTATAGGCAGTCTTAATACTTTTGTCTGTTAACCTCTATGCTAGAGTTATAAGTGATTTACCCACCACTATTACAATATTAAAGTATTCTGAGTTTAACCATATATTAATTTTACCAGTGAGTTTTATACTTTCACATGTTTAAATATTACCAATTAGCATCCTTTCATTTAAGCTTGAAGAACTCCCTTTTACATATCTTGTAAGGCTGGTCTAGTGGTGATAAACTCCTTCAACTTTTGTTTATCTGGAAAACTCTTTATCTTTCCTTAAATTCTGAAGACAATTTTGTTGGGTAGAGTACTCTTGAGTTGTAATTTTTTCTTTTTCTTTTACCACTTTGAATAGCTTATCCCATTCCCTTCTGGCTGGCAAGGGTATTGTAAAATCTGCTGATAGTCTTATGAGGGTTCCCTTGTATGTAACAAGTTGCTTTTCTCTTGCTGCTCTTAAGGTTCTCTCTTTGTCTTTAACTTTTGAAAATTTAATTATAATGTGTATAATGATGAATCTCGTTAGATTCATCATAGTTGGCACTCTTTGGGTTGCCTGGATATGGATGTGTGTTTTTTGTCCCCAGGTTAAAGAAATTTTCAGCCATTATTTTTTTGAATAAGCTTTTGCCTGTTTCTTTCTTTTTTGCTTCTTCTGGGACCCTATAGTGCATATATTGGTCTATTTGATATTCTGTAAGTCCCTTAAGCTATCTTCACTCTTTCTCAGTTTTTTTCTTTCTTTTTCTTTTTGATCTTCTGGATGCATGGACTCCACTGCCATGTTTTCTAATTTGCTGCTCCTTTCTTCCACTTGATCTAGTGTGCTCTTGAACCCCTCTATTGAATTTTTCAGTTCAGTTATTTTACTCTTCAGCTCTTTGCTTTCTGTTTGGCACTTTAAATATTTTCTATCTCTTTGTTGAAATTCTCACTTTGTTCAGGCATTCCTGGCCTTGGTGATCATCATTATTAATAAGCATTATTTTTAACTATCAGATAAATCACTTATCTCCATTTCATTATGATCATTTTCTGAAATTTGTCTTGTTCTTTTATTTAGAACATACTGCCTTTTTTCTTCATTTTCCTTGACTTCCTCTGTTGGCTTTCGTGCATTAGCTAAAACAGCCATCTCTCCCAGTCTTGACAGACTGCTATCTGGTCTTATGTAGGAGATGAATCTTGTCAACGAGCCCAATCGGAGCTCCTGGTTGCCTCTCAAATCCTTGTAATTGTCCCAGCCACTGTCTTTGTTCTCCATGCCTCTTGGTAGTGAAGGTGTGAGAAGACCCATCAGTGTCCCAAAGGGGATGTTTGTAGTCAGCACCTCGATGCAGGCTGGTTAGAAGCTGGGCCTGCAGGCAACAACTATGGAAGCTCGCAGTCACACTTATTCTGGAGGGAAACTGGGAGACAGACATTTTGCCATCTCTCTCTGCACTGGGCCTGGGTGTATAGCTGTGGGGGTGCTCCTGAGCCTGTTGAAAACTGCTTGTTTGTTTGCTGTAGTGCTGTGGGACTCTTGAATGCAAGCCCGGTTGGCAGTCAGAGCTACCCAATGCAGGGGCTTATCCCTCAGGCAGTAGCAGTAAAAGTTGAGGCATGAGAGACAGGTGTAAAAGTTCTTTCCAGAGAAATGCTGGTGACCTGATTTTATTGTTGGCGTTGCTGGAGGGATAAGGTGGGAGAAGTGCCCATGGTTCTTTCAGGTTCTGGGTAACATCACAGTCAGCACCTAGAAGTGTGTTGATTAGTGTCTGACCCTCAGGCAGCAGCGTACAAAGTACGCCAACGCTTACCAGGGAGAGTCCGCAAGACGGACGGCTGGCCCGCTCCAGTGTTCTGAGCCCTGGGGCTTCTCTGTGGTTCGAGCTCTGGTGCGCATTAACACCTTCTTCGTTTGTGACAGCTCTGTGGACCCAAACTCTTCTGCTGTCAGAGCTAGTTGTTTTGGGATCCCGTGCCTCAGGTGGGAGCCTTAAAAAGTGGGGCACTAAATGTGCTGAGTTGGGGGTTTCTGCCCAATTGTGTGGCGCTGTGGAGTGGGGTTTATGGCGAGGGTGTTTCTCAGCCTTTCCTCCCAATTTCCAGGTGGGTATTTTCTCTTGCCCAATATGTAGGAGTCATTCATCTAGTTTCTGGATTTCTCTCAGAGGGAATTCTTCCATGTGTAGCTGTACATTCAGTGTGGCCATGGGAGGAGCGGGGAAAGGGCCGTCTATGTTTCCATTTTGGTCAAGAACAGAACAAATCGAAATAGAAAAAACCTCTTTAGTTTCTTTATTAATTTACTTAAAAATGATTATTTATATAACAAGAATTCATTCATTTATGCAATAAATGTTACTGGATTCTATTCTAGATGGTAGGGATACAACAGTGAATTGGAAAGAAAAAAATCGTTGGAGTATACATTTTAGTAGGGAAGAGGCAAAATAAATTAATAAAAAATGTTATATATCTTGTGGTAAGGGCTATGAAGATAAGTATAATCAAATAAGGGGGATAAGAGTGAGAAGTGAGAGCGCTCTTTTCTAAGAGCTCTTTAGAGAAGGTCATTCTAGTAAGGAAACATGTGAGTGCCGCCGTAGAGGATGGGGTGAGTGAGGTATGTGGATAGATGGATCACAGTGGTGGGGTAGTGCTCCAGGTGGCTGCAGAAGCAGGCAGAGGCCTTGAGGCACCACCCCTTTCCTGATGGTTCTAAAGCAGAGTATGCAGGCAACTTTGGCAACTAGCTGATGGCCATGGGAGGCTCTTTAGCTGGCTACTCTTTGATTGACACATGGGGTTTGGAAACAGATTCATGTAGCTCATGAAGTAACCAACCTTGTTATTCAACAACAAGCACCAGGGCTGAGGAGAGCAGGAGAAAACACTTCTTGTATTATCTTGATTTTTGCTGATGGCAAAAAAGAAGAAAAAAAAAAAAGGTATACTTTCATTGTCTTTTTGTAATTTAAAAAGCACTGTTAGGAGATGTAATCTTTTATTTATGTTCAAGACTTTAGTCATCATTTATATTTTCTTTGTATACTTGAGATAATATGCAAACACTGGGGAGACAGTGCTTTGTTTTACTTTGTAGATTGTTTTGTATAGAACGAGAGTAGCAAATACCCACTGGAGTCGGGAAGGTGAGCGAAATGAGGAGTGCAGTTGAGGCATAACGGAGTGAGTGATGGAGACCATGGCGATGTGGAGAATTATGCCCTCTGTAAAAGGAGAGCCATTATTTAACTCTGACTGTTGCCGTGTGAGAATGTGGGCTTAGTTTGAATTTACTTTCTGATTTTTCAAGAAAAGCCAGAAATTTGCATTTTTTGGTGCCATCTCCTGGTTTTTAAATGCTGGAAACTAAATAAAAACGTTTCAAGACACTCTTCAGGCTAAGTCCCCAGTTTGCAAGCTTCTGGGGTATCCACTGTAATTAATGTTCACTGCCTTCTTCAGGGGATGTATAGATGTGATAGTAACCAAATGCTGCAGGATTTCTGGATACAGATGGTTGTAACACTGTTGTACTGCTGCTGTCCTACGCGGTGCTGACTATGTCTGTTCTTGTTGTTTTAGGCTATGGCCAGACTGGCCCACTGTCTCAGCGAGCTGGTTATGACGCGGTGGCCTCTGCTGTTTCTGGCCTGATGCACATCACAGGACCTGAGGTATATACCGTTCTTCAGACTACTCATAATTGTTTTCCCCAGGTAGTCTAAAGGGATTCTCATCTTTACTAACCCATAGGCTTACACTTGAGTCAATTTCAGAAAGAATCCAGGGAAAGTGAATGACTTATTAAAAGTAGAAAAGGGTTCATTACGAATGTGCTTGAGCCTAAATGTCAATTTGGTCCCGTAGAAAATAACACTTTTTTTATTTAGCAAGAATCTATAGAGTGTTAAACACACTAGGTATTATATATGTTATATTATTTCTGCTTAAATAGGCACATTCATGTGATTTAGGCATATTGCTTTTGTAGAATGGCTGGCTCAACTAGTCCACAGATATCCATTCTACCAGAGTGCCTTCATGTGGTTTCTGGAGGGTTTCTTTTCCCTCTTCTATATTTTAAGAGGTTATGTATTTAAAAATTTGTTAGTTAATGCCTCAGGTATAGTTGTGTCTGTTATATACATTAGATTCTGACAATGAAAGAATTATTTGCTTTTATAGTTTCTCTCCATTCATGATAGGTTGGGAAGTTCCTAAAAAGTATTTAAGCAACCAAAAGCCTTTGGTTGCTTAAATCAAAGGCTTTTAGAAAATGCACTCTGGGAGAAAATAGTAAGAGTGTCCTTAGATAAATAAATAAATAAATAAATAAATAAATAAATAAATAAATAAATAAATAAATAAAATCTGTGAAAGCCCAGCAAATAAAAATACTAAAAGACATTTATTTCCAAAACAAGTTAGATTGGTAGGCTTAAAATGTTTTTTCCAGTAGTTGTTTCTTCCTTGAATCACTTTCTTCAGTTAATTCTTCAGGAAATATTGCTGCAGTGTTAGGGTAAATAGGCAAAGTGACCCCGAAGTGTTCTTTGTTTTTTTTTAAAGATTTTTTATTGGGGAAGTGGGGGATGGGAACAGCTCTGGGGAATTGGGGGAAGGGGAACAGACAAGTTGCTGTCCTTTTGTTCTTCAGTCTAGTTGTGGAGGACGTTGCTTCACTGGCCCAAGTTGGTACCATCATTGCGCTCTTCCTGGGCGAGGCAGATCAGTCGCCGGCTTCTGGACGGCCGCTCACTGCGGCTGCTGGCTGCTCACGCTGGCTGCTGGCTACACACGGTAGCCCATGGCAACCCACTGCCACAGGGGCTGCAGCCTACGCCATCGCCTGCGACTCATGGCAGCCCAGCTCCAGGTTGAGCTGTTGTTCAGCATCTTAGCTATAGAGGGCAGTGTCACTGGCCCTCATGTGGGATCCGAACCGGGGCCCTCTGGCGTCCCAAGCCAGTTCTTAACCATCGCGCCACTCGGCCGGCCTGGAAGTGTTCTTTTTTAAAGTATTTACTTCTTTTTATGAATTTTCAAGCAGGCGCTGGGATTTCAGTGAGTTGAAATATAAGGTCTTTTGTACTTTCTTTCTCTGCGGTTTCATTTTCACAAGTCTTAGAAACAGATGTGTATGGCCTTTCCTTAAAACATTCAAGGGCACTGCTCTTCTTTCTATCCACTGAGAGAATGGAGCATGGCTCTATCTCCCTTTGCTCTATCCCACTGAAGTTCTTATACGTACAAGACATTATTATGGGTGGTTTTATTTAAGAGCACTGAATTAAATTGTGAATATGTGAAAGGATCTTATTCAAATGTGAAAATGAATGAACACACAAACAACTGACATGAAGGGTTGCTGTCGCTCCTAGTGCACTGCACTCTGTCCCTGATGGGGTGACCACACAGTGTGTGTTCGCTGTGCCACTTACCAGTCAGTGACTTTATCTCCTGTGTTATCCTACCTGGGCAAGCTTTGTTCTAACTCAGTGTAGATCGGGTGCTTACTATGTGCCAAACATTATTTCATATACTTTGCATGTATTAAATTAAATGAACTTAATGTCCATATACTGTATTTCTTTCACATGGGACACATCTCCCAGTTCTTAATTCATTGATCTAATGAAGTGTGGGTGGCACGTGTTCCCTCTGTATGCTGGGAACTGTGGCAGACAACAGGGTGGGTACAGTCCTTAAGTGGGGAAAACAAAGATTAATAGAAAATAAGCATTAAATATAAATAGAAAGAGCTCTGAAGTACGGGGTGCTTTAATATGTATCACTGCATGCTTCAGACCACTGTAATACTTCCCCAAATCTCTGTAAAGTGTGGTTTGACAGCAAAGGATAAAAGCGATTGAAGAGAATCAGGTCCTGCTAGCAGTCCCCTTGAAGGAGTTGTTTTCCTCTGTTATCAGCGATAGATCACAATGTCTTAACCCTCTGCGAGGGTGTGCAGGAGGGGTCAGTTCTGAAAGCCCTGTCGTACATTTTCACTAGCTGGTGCAAACTCACCACTGCCAACTACCTCATGTGACATAGGAATGTTTATCCGGCTATACAGCTGTGCATTTGTGCTGTAGCTTAACTCCCATGTTGTTATATGGCTGACGGGAACCCAGGCTTCTGTATCGCTAGGAGACTTCACCACATCACCTTGTGCAGTGTAGCCTAATGGTGTCAGGATGGTTGGTCAGGGAAGAGTTCCCTGAGGACCAGTGAGTTAAGGGGGATGCAGTTAGACATTAGCCTGGTGACTAGAGGGCAACACCATGCATGACATCCAAATGCTGGAGAGTCTGGTAGGTTTAAGGAGCCCAAGGAATGCCAGTGTCATCTGATTGTTGTTAGGTAGCAGAGAAGGGGAAAATGAGGTTGGAGAGGTAAGGAGTGGTGGCTGAACTTATTGTTTATGAACGTATTCTATTACTTAATAGTTTGATGAGAAGAGAAGATACATTATTATATAGACATTTTTAGTGATGATCTAATATATTTCTGCCTGGAAAAATGGATGATGTTCCCAAAATATAGACAAGTATTATGACGAGAAAACTCAAACTGCATATTTTTCTATAACAGAGTATTAATACCATTTTTATCCCAAAGGGGCATCACCTAAATGTATAATATAGGATAAAATTTATTATGAGATTTAAGCAAACTAATTACAGTTGACGTCTACTACGTCTCCAGTCTAGCCTTTTAGGTGTGCTGTGGTGTTGTCAGATAAGGTTCGTATTTGATTAGGGAGAAAAAGAGAACTGATACTGAGGACCTGCACTGTGCTAGCCCCATGCTTGGTGTTTTACAGATGGTGTTATATGTTTTGATCCTCACATTTATCCTTCCAGGTAGGTATTGATAAATTCTGTAACTGACGCTTAAAGGCTTAGATAACTTGTCCACAGTGCCCAGATATGTAAAACGTTAAAGCCAGACTTTGAACCCAGCTCTGCTTTACTCCTTATAGCTATACCATACCTCCTCTCCGTGCTGCCTGAAAAGTGAGTCCTGACTTCCATTGTACTTGTGTCTTGCTTATGCACACTACTGATATGATGGGTTACAGTATAGTGAGCAGACCGTTTGGTGTCTGTCATGAGAAAGGACTGAACTAAGTAAAAGTCTGGAGGCCTGGCTCTATGTAATACACTCCTTTGTGATGTTTACTGGCTGCTGAAAATGGGCCCCAGGAGAATATAAGCCTCAGAAGACCATGGCCTTTGCTTGGTCACTGCTGTATCTCTGTGCCTAAAACAGAGCCTGGCACTTAGTAAGCGCATAATATATATGCCGAGTGAATGAAAAAGCGAATACCTGGTACTATGCTCTGTGATCTTGAAGGTCTTATACAGCTTCTCTGTGTTTTATTTAGTAAAGTAAGTGTCTGAGCATCACTTCCAGATGAAGTGATGCTCATACCTTTACTCTTCAAGATATTGTAAAGAGCAAGTAAAATGTCTTTTATAAAATGTAAAAGCACCAACTTGCAAATAATGTACATTAAAAATCAGCACTTGCTTGGCATATCTGGAGATTCCTCAGATGCACCCTCGTATTATAGATACTGATTGGTGGTTGGAGCCCATGGTATGCATATTTAATGCTGGCCCAAGTGTTTCTGGTGGAGATGGTTTGTGGGTCACACTTGGAAGCTTTATGAGAAGTATTATTATTAAAAACACCTTTGCATTGGAAGTAGACGGCAGGTCTTCTTTCAGAGACTCTGACAGAAAAGTTAATGACTTATTAAGGTCTGTATATTATTGGGTTGTTGGAAAAGTCATGACATATTTTTTCTATGCTTTTTGTTGCAAAAATGAGTCGTGACTTTTCTGACAACCCAATATGTTTAAATTATAATACTGTTTCTTTTTTTTTTTTTTAGATTTTTATTGGGGAATTGAGGGATGGGAACAGCGCTGGGGAATTGGGGAAAGGGGAACAGACAAGTTGCTGTCCTTTTGTTCTTCAGTCTAGTTGTGGAGGACGTTGCTTCACTGGTCCATGTTGGTATTATCATTGTGCCCTTCCCAGGTGAGGCAGATCGGTCGCCGGCCATTGGATGGCCGCTCATGGCGGCTCTTGGCAGCTCACACCGGCTGCCGGCTGCTCAACCTGGCTGCTGGTCACACACGGTAGCTTATGCCAGCCCCAGCCTATGCCGTCGCCGGCAACTCACGGCAGCCCAACTCCAGGTCGAGCTGTTGTTCACCATCTTAGCTGTAGAGGGCGCAGCGTCACTCGCCCTAATGTGGGATCTGAACTGGGGCCCTATTGCTCAGATCTGGCATCCCAAGCCAGCTCTTAATCAACGTACCACTCGGCTGGCCCCCCTTCACCATTTTGTAATATTAACACTTTATCAAACTGTAGTACAGTGATGAAAACTAAGAAATTAACACTGGTAGAATACAATTAACTAAATTCCACAGTTAATTCAGATTTTGGTATTTTTTTCACGAATGTTCAGGGTTTACCAATAATGAGTACTTGAATACATGAATGAATGAGGAATGAAAGAATATAAGAAAACCTAATTGATAAGAATGACAGTGAAGAAATACATGAAAGAATATGGAAAGTGAATAATTGGGAATACTCTTAATATTTTCATTTTATACTTTGTCCTCCCACTATAACTGTATGTTTTCAGTCT